CACAGGAGTACAGAACAAAACTGCACTCCTGTGATCCACAGAAGTACAGCCAAAAGAGTTTTGGCTGTACTTCTTTAATGTATGCCATTCTATTGCGTTGTTGATGCATCCATGGAATATCTTTGTGCTTCTACTGGCTATTGTAATTTTGTTTTAGCTGAACTTTTTCATAAGGACTTTGGTACACCAGAGAATATGAGCGCTTTTATAAGGATATTTTGTACTAAAAATGTATGATTCTAGTAACTGTATTTTATTTTATTTTTAGAGACTGTTTTTTTTGTTTTTACATTTTTATGTACACTGGTTAGTAATTGAGCATTTCTTTTGGCTTTATGTACTTTAATTGTAGGTGAACTATTTGCACAGTTTAAGGGAGGGGTTCTGTAGATCCAAGCAGGACATTGCATGGTTTATATTTGAAAATAGTATTTCATGAACTTAAGTTAGGTGGGACAGTATAGTACGGATTGATTTTCTTTTTGAGATCCTATAATCACATTTGTAATTGTTTTCAAGGGAGGCGTATTGTAGCTCAACAGTTATTTCTTTTTGATTTTGTGTTTAATACTGCTTTAAACAGACCAAGTTGTGCAGCAAAAGTGGAAGTGTTGAGACAAACCATTTCAAACCGACAGGTGCTGAACAGTGGTCAGCTTTTTTTAATTTACTTAAAACCTTTTTACCAAAAGGAAAAAAAAAATACTAGTTCTGTTATTGCTTAAAGTGTAACTTAAGGTATTTTTTCATAATGCGTTTTTTTTTTTTTTTTTGCCATCTGTGTCCCAATAGGGGAGATTTCCTTTCATTTCCTGTCTTATAGCCAAAATGGGAAGTGATAAAATCCATCCAAAGTGAGGGCATCCTGGGGTGTCACCAGAAGTAGTTTTCCCATTGGAAGATTTCCTCTCTCACTGTTCTGGTGGCAACCTAAAATTTGGAATTTTAATTTACTTTCACTTTCCATGATAATGGTAAACAGGACAGTTAACCACTTGCCTACCGGGCACTTATACCCCCTTCTTTACCAGGCCACTTTTCAGCTTTCAGCGCTGTCGCACTTTGACAATTGCGCGGTCATGCAAGATTGTACCCATATGAAATTTTTATAATTTTTTTTCTCACAAATAGAGCTATCTTTGGTATTTAATCGCCGCTTTGAAAAAGAAAAAAAAAGTTTCTTTGTTTCTATTATAAAATTTTTCAAACAGGTAATTTTTCTCCTTCACTGGTGTGCGTTGATGAGGCAGCACTGTTGGGCACTGATGGGTGGCACTGCTGGGCACTGACTGGCACAACCGCTGGGCACTGGTGGGTGGCACTGCTGGGTGGGCACTGGTGGGTGGCACTGCTGGGTGGCACCGGTGGGCACGCTGGATGGTATCGGTGGGCGCACTGCTGGGCACCGGTGGGTGGAACTGGTGGGTGGCCCTGATGATCGGTGCCGACCCCTGCTCTGACAACTGACGGTTCTCGGCAGTACTTTCCTCACGCTCTGACAGCGTGAGGAAAGTGCAGCCGAGAACCGGCAATTGCATTTCCCGGTGATCAGCGTGTCATTGGACACGGCTGATCATGTGGTAAAAGGCCGCTGTGGTTGGCCTTTTACCACATCACGTGATCAGCTGTGTCCGTAGGACACAGCGATCACAGAGATCGCCAGATGCGCGCCCCCGGGGGCGTGCAGGAGAGCGCGTTCTGAGAGGACGTCATATGACGCCCTCCCAGAACTGGACGGCCGCAGTGTAGCCGTCATTCGGCTATCTGCGGTTGGCAAGTAGTTAAATAGGGAGCTCAGACAGCAATAAAAACTTGACAAATTCTAATCCCTCTCCACTCTATAAAAAAAAAAAAAAAAAAAAACGTTTTGCCTTTAGTTACACTTTGAAAAGTATTAGCTGAAGTTTGGTTGGACTTGAACACTACCCCTCTCCAGACAAGGGTGGATGTTTTGCTCCTCCATAGATAGAGGAGTCACCCTAGGACAGTAGAACATTAGAATATCAGACGGAAAAAAAAAAAAACCTTTTCAGAGTGATCGTATGATAACCTGATCTTTAGTACACAGCTTTCGAGAGCTGATCACGACAGTTAATGCGAAATTATCCAAAGGGACAAGTACAATATTTTTTCTTGTAAGATAACAGAACAAACTATGTTCATTTTAATCAGTACAGTATTCATAAAAAAAATCGAGTGAACAAGACGCATGCTCAGAAACCAAAGAACACAATATAGCCTATTAGATTTCGATAAGAGACTAGCATGCAAAATAGAAAAAAAAATTATTCTCATTTTGTGTTCTAGGCTTTAGTTTGTTGTTGGTCAGGGAAAAACAAATAATGCAGCTACCACATTTAAGGGCTGATAATCTAAAATATATTCGATTTTTGTGGCGGGGTTTTGGGAAGGGGGAGGGGGGGGTTTATAGGTATGCTTTAATCCCTTTTGTACTGCTAAATGTGTTTCAATGGCGGATAAGTGGTACTTTATTTACCTAGTACCATTTATAATCGGCACTGGATAATCCTCTGTTAGGCGACTGATCCGCAGGGTGATCATTGTGTACCCAGCCGTCAGTAGATGGCTGGGTACATACATACACTGTACTCAGCCAATCCACAGTAATGAAAGGATATTGTAGCCTGGTACTTAAATGGTTAATTTTAGTATTGACTGCTTTATTTTACAGTGTGCTGTATCAACAGCAGAATCAGCCTATGGATGCTTTGCAGGCCTATATATGTGCTGTTCAATTGGATCATGGCCATGCTGCAGCCTGGATGGATCTGGGCACACTCTATGAATCCTGCAACCAACCTCAGGATGCTATCAAATGCTACCTAAATGCCACAAGGAGCAAACATTGTAGTAATTCCTCTGCACTTGCAGCTCGGATTAAGTACTTACAGGTACATTCTAGATTTTATTTTTGTTTTTTAATAGCTTCCAGCATGTCCATGTACCATACAATTTAGGAATATGTTGAGCTTTTTTGTTTTACGCCAAGCCTTCATTTTCTTAAGAATCTGTGTGCTTTTTTTTTTTTTTTCCATAGTTTGTAAAATAATTTTTTTAGAAGCTTTTTACCCATTTTCTTCTTGTACATAGTATATTTTTTTTTGTTTTGATGTGTACATTTTTCTTTGTCATAGACTTAGGAAAACACGTCCCGTGGTTTCCAAACTCTTGTTATCAAACATCAAGAGTTCTCTTTTGCACATTTTTATTTATTCTCACAAAGGTTTGTATTCTGGTTACCCTGTTATACATCTGTTTTTATAGAAAGCCACAATTGGAATTACAAAGCTTACTTCTTGTTAGGAAGTTGTAGTGGACATGCTCATAATAAATTAGGCCTGTGTTAAATTTCCTTTTCAAATAATTTTTCCTAGGCTCAGTTGTGTAACCTTCCTCAAGGTAGTCTACAGAGTAAAACTAAATTGCTTCCTAGTATTGAGGAGGCATGGAGCCTACCAATCCCCGCAGAGCTTACCTCCAGGCAGGGTGCCATGAACTCAGCACAGCAGGTGAGAAGTTGGGGTATTTTCTGAAAACACCCAGCTTTAAAACTTATTTTCAATATTCAGCAAGTTTTTCTTTTTCTTTTTGTTACTTGAGCTTCAAGCTGGTTTTATCTGTGTATACCTAAGGTACAAGTTATTGAGAGTTAGATAACGTGATCAAATCTCCCTGCATTTTGGGTGCCAACTAAGAACCTTTGTGGATCTTCATTTTTTTTAATGCCCAACTATATTGATTTTTTTTAGACAATCTCACATCAATCCATCTTTTTTCATTTTACTGCTGGACTGAAGTCATTGTTTTGTATGTGGATCCACATTTCATATTGTTTTGTCCAGAGGTGGTTTAAATGCCTGTCCTCTCCTGGCATGGAAACTGATACCTATTACATAGACCCATATTTTCTCTCTTACAATTCTTAGGCCTGTAAACCTCATCATCAGAATGCTGAATCTGTACTAGGCCTCAGTCAAAACACCACTTTCACAGCAGTCCTTGCCACTACATATGACTCCTAGCCAGGTAGATGAACTCTCAAGTCCTGCCAAGAGGAAAAGAACTTCTAGTCCAGCAAAGGTATTTTACATAGCTAAACAATTTATGTGGCTCATGCTGTGTTTTTTTTAAACCATCACCTTCATTCAGGATAATCACCAGATGGAGGACATTTTCATAAAGGGAGTTTCTATATGCAGGGAGTGTATCTCAGGCTTAGATTTTCTCAGCAGTGTTTACCATTGTTTTTTGGTTTCTTTTTCCCCCCTCTTTTTATTTAACTTTTCTCCTATTAAAATGATACGTTTTCTGTTGTACCACCATTTCCATGTTTCTAGATAAACTAACATAAATTCTCAACTTGACAGTAGTAATAGGACTTTGGATAATGAATTTATTTATTTTTTTTAGAATACTTCTGAAACCTGGGGCAGTGGCAATGTAACGCCACATACTCCAGCCCAACAAGTTCATTCTGTCTTTGCCACCACAGAAGTTACAGGTATGACTACATAGTACACCTTTTCATATTGCTTCAGCTTTGTTTGTGAGAACATGTCATTCTCATTTTAAAGCCTTTATTACTTTAGCGTGGAAATATAAAACTGACAGATATATACCTTTCCTACAATCTGAACAATCTCAAGAGTCTTTCAGCTTTGACATCTAGCTCAGGGCTACATGGGTGATTAAATATTTTTGCTACTAGGAAACTTAACCTGTTTTGCAGCACAGATATCTGTTAACACTCATTGATTGGTATTAAAAGTAACCCATTGTCATTCAGTGTTATGACAATACAAATTAAAACATTCAAGGGGTGAGTACTTTATTGGCACTGTAAACATATTTATAGTGCAAATTAACATGATATATATATATCTTCTCTCTAGCAACTGGAGCAGCTAAGAGCGAACAGGAATAATTTAAATCCTGCGCAAAAAGCATTGTTGGAACAGTTAGAGGGTCAGTTTGTCTTAATGCAGCAGCACCAGCAGGTATGTGGACTTTATAGTTCAATGCAGTTCAATGTTCAGTGTAGTTTGAGACAACATTTAAAAAAAAAAAAAGCCTGTACAATATCAACCATTACATAGTTAAAAATTAATATCTTACAAGATCTTGACTTTTTTTTTTTTAAACAGATAAGACAAACGGGAGCTCCACAGGTACGATCTACTGGAATTGCTAATGGGCCAACAGTTGACTCATCACTGCCTACAAACTCTGTTTCCGGTCAGCAGCATCAAGTTTCATTAAACAGAGCGCTTAATGTCACTCAGCCTGGAATCCGTCCAGCTTGCCCTGTGCAGCCTGTGGCTAATGGACCATTTCCGGCAGGCCAAGTTTCCTGCAGCACCACAGGGACAATGGGTAGTACAGACGCTATGTTGATAGGCAATAATCATATAACAGGAAGTGGAAGTAATGGAAACGTGCCTTACCCGCAGCGAAATGCACTCGCTCTACCTCATAACCGCACAAACCTGACCAGCAGCACAGAGGAGCCGTGGAAAAACCAACTATCTAACTCCACTCAGGTAACTGGGGTATTTATAATTATGTTAATAAATGCATGCTTTGCCTATTCACAGTGTAACCAGGCCTATTTTTGCATGATTGGGTTCAGTTAAAGCAAAACTCCAGAAATAATCTTTCCATACCTACTTTTTTCCTTCTTGCCTTCATGTAAGTTTCCTTATGTGATATGCAGAGGGCCACAGTGGTTACTCCAAAAATCACTGTAGTAGTCTGCTCTTCAGTGCTGTCATGTTCCGGGTACTGCTCAAGTGCCACCTCCTCTGCACACTAAGTACAGGGGTTAAATTGCTTAGCACCACTGTCATTCAGTGAGCACTATCTTTTTTTATCTAATTTGATTATATCTTTTTTCCAATGAATACAAGATGTTCTCCTTGATGAGATAGAGAGGCATGGCAGATGGCATCACGACCTCCACCTCGTCCAGTAAGGGAATGCCTTGTATTCATTGTAAACAAAATACAGGCCATTCTTTTACATAGGTTCTGGGGGAAGGACCCTCTAGTCTAGTGTGCAGAAAGGAAGCCTCTAGAACAGCACCCTGCATGTAGTCCAGACGACTACTGCAAGTTTCAGCATCACCAGGGGCCCTCTGGATACCATACAATGGATACTTACATCAATCCAAGCTGACCCAATGTAAGCATGCAAAAAAGATAATTCCTGGTGTTTCACTTTAAGCTTCTTGGGCTTGTGTTGTACGTTCAAGAATTGCAGCAGCCAAGTAATCATTGAATGTTGCATTCTTGCAACCTTGTTCTATGGTTTGACTGTAACTTGGGCTTTTTTAAAGCTTTCCTTAATTTGGTTAGTGTGGTATATAAAGTTCTATGAATACAAAAAAATTAACTTGCAGGTAACTTTGAGGCTTTGGGTAAGGAATGTAAGAAGGGACAAGTCTCAAAATAAAATGTATCTTGTATCTAAAGTAGCAATAGCTATTTAAAAACTACTACTGGTCAAAACTGGGAAAAAGATTGTGCTTGTGTGTAGAGGGTAGTATCTTTTTTGCCTTTTTATAGAATGGAAAAATAAATGAATGTTTGGTAATAATACCACCACACAGTCTGTTACAAGTACTGACAAAGTTATTGCTAAATTAGGAGGTTCATAGTTCAACTAAGGAAATTGACCACCTCAGTACTAGAGGTTTTGATTTGTTTTTTTTTTTACCCCTTACATACCAAAGATGGTTATAGCATTATATTGTCTTCAACATAAATTTCTAACTGATGTTTAATTTTTCTCTTATTTTTTATTTACCAGGAGGTGTTATTGATCTTTTATTTTTCTTCAAATTGCTTACAAGGTTACTTCACCCCTTCTAGCTAAGAGCACACATGTGTGGCCCCACTGAAGTGGGTCTTTTCCATGGAACCACATATATGCACTGCTGCGTTTTATACTGAGAGTGTGCTCTCAGCGCAGAAATCGAACTGTCAGTGATCTATCTGGATCTTGTACAAACAATTGGGATTTGGTAGACCTGATTCCCATTCACTTGATTGCTGTGATAGCCTCTAATTGGTGATGACAGTACGTCAAAAAAAATGGTGAAAAAAAGTCCTGGCATTTTAGGACCTCAAGAAATGAGAGGCCGTCAGTACATCAGCATTAATCAATTTTCAAATATACAGTGGGTATAGAAAAGAATCACACAACCCCCCCCCCCCCCCCCTTTAAAATAGCATTTTGTTGCTTTGCAGCCTGACATGAAGACAGTTTTTGTTTTATCCAGCTGTATTTACTTATAACTTATAACATCCAAGTGAAGGTACACCAGCACGTTAGGAAAAAATTAAACAGAATCACTGAGTTGAAAAAAGGATCACCCCCTCCTAAAAATGATTTGTAAACTTAATCAGGTGTAGATAATCACCTTTTCAATGGCATACAAAACCATTTGACTTTCAACTGTGATCAGCTGTGGTCATTTTGATTACCTCAGCCTGAAATGAGCTTTCCTGGAGCATTTCAGTCCCTTTTAGTGCAACTGAAGCAAACAACTATGGGTGGCAAAGCACAAGTCAGGAGATTGATATAAAAAAAATGTCAAAAGCTGTATCAATGCTTAGAAGCACAGTGAAGTCTATTATTAACCACTTGCCTTATGCCCTATAGCAGGCATTATTTTGCACTTCCGCCACACGGGGGTTCGTGCCACGGCCTGAGGAGATTTTCAGCTGTGAACTGTCACAGCACAAAACGATCTGCCACGTCCCGGCGAGCTTGTCTGCACCTGCAGATTGTCAGGAAGCAAGAACAGAGCTATGGCTATGGATGTTTACCCCTTCCCAGCCAGAGTCATTAGTACAGTGTCAGTGCATAGTTTTAGCACTGATCACTGTAATAGTGTCACTGGTTTCCACAAAATGTCAGTGTAAAAATGTCTGCCGCAGTATCGCAGTCCTGCTGTAAGTCGCTGTTCGCTGCCATTACTAGTATAAAAAAAAAATTCCAGTATATAGTTTGCAGACGCTATAGATTTTGAGCAAACTAATCCATATACACTTATTGGGATTTTTTTTTTTTACCAAAAATATGTAGCAGAAAATATTTTGGTCTAAATGTATGAAGAAAAATTATTTTTAAAATGTTTTATTGGATATGTTTTTTTTTCAAAATTTTCAGACTTTTTTTGTTCATAGCACAAAAAGTAAAAACTGCAGAGGTGATCAAATGCCACCAAAAGAAAGCTCCATTTGTGGGGAAAAAGGACATAAATTTCATTTGGGTACAGCATTTGCATGACTGTGCAAATTCCCCACAAATGTGGCTTGTATGGGAGGTTTGTAAGAAAAAAAGCCACTTCTCAAGAAAGGCCACATACAGTCACGACTGAACTTTGCCAAAACGCACCTTGAAGATTCCGGGGCCACGTGGAAAAAAGTGTTAATGTCAGATGAGACTAAAATTGAGTTATTTGGCCTCAACACTAAAACGAAATCTGTGGCAGAAATCCAAAACAGCTCACCATCCGAATAGCACACCATTCTTGCAGTAAAGCATGGAGGTGGTAATATCCTGTTTTCAGGGAGGGGGTTTCTCTTCTGCAGCAGGGACTGGGGCGCTTGGCAGAATGGATGGGGCAAAATACTGTCAAATTCTGGAGGAAAATCTGTTGCCCTCTGCCAGAATGTTGTCAGTGGGCAGGTGGTTTACTTTCCAACATGAATATGACCCAGAGCACAGAGAAAAAATGATCACACAGTGGTTGAAGGAGAAAGAGGTGAATGTCTTTACATGGCCTAGTCAGAGCCCAGACTTAATCCTCATTGAAAATCTTTGGAATGATTTGAAGACTGCAGTCAACAAACAGTCACCATCAAATTTAACTGAACTTGAGCAGTTCTGCAAAGAAGAGTGGGCAAATATTGCAAAGTCTAGATGTGCAAAGGTAGTAGAGCCATATCAAAACAGACTAAAGGCTGTAATTAACTGCTTGCCCACCGGCCTATAACAAAAATACTGCTACAAGGCGGTACGGCTGTGTAAAATCACATGTGTGTGTATATACATGATTTATAATTTCCGGTTAGGAGGTGCGCGCTTCAGCTGTCGATCACCGGCAATAACCAATCACCGAGTATCACTGATGGGAGAAAGGTCTGTATGTAAACAATACAGATCTCTCCCCTGTCAGCTCCAGCACATTGCTTTGTATTGCTCTGCATAGCAGAGCAAATAAGCAGCGTACTTACACTGTAAGCCATGCACACAGGAAAACAGCCCACTGTAGTAACCACTGTAGTAGTGTCACCTGGGGATGCTCATGCAATGCAAAGTGTAAAAAAAAAAAAAAAAAAAAAAAATCCCTGATCACCCCCCTCCCCCCCGAAAGTGTAAAAAAAAAATATATTTTTAATACATTTTTTTTACACTACTTGTACTTATAACAATGTGCGGGTGGGCGGGTGGCGGCGGCTCTGGGCAAATCGACGTAATCTTGCATCGCTTTCTATTCCTGGGTGTGTGTGCCCCCACTGCCCCCTATGCCATCCAGGGAGAGAACTACGAACATAGCACTGAGTAAAAGCAATACATTTTATACACACATTAGATTAGCACGTTTAACTTGATCACCCCATTAATCCTTTGATCACCCAGCCAGTGCCATTGGTACAGTGTCTGTAGACTGTTTCACCGATCACTGTATTACTGCCACTAGCGGCATCAGATAGTGTCAGGGTCAGCTAGTATTCGATTGCCCTCACTCTATCGCACTCACATTATAGGCCACTGATCACTGCCATTACTAGTATTGTGTTTGTACAGATCAATATATTGATCACGAGCAAAACTATACTAGTGCCTCCTTTGTATAGTGTCCCCAAAAACCGTGTTAGGAGGATTAGTCCCGAGGATTAATTCCCTGTGATAACAATAAAAGTAATAAAAAAAAAAAATAAAGGGACAGCGTAAAAATAATTTAAAAAAATAAAGCAAAATAAATATTAAAAAAAAAATTCAGCCCCATCCCTGTGCTTGCTTGCAAAGGCAAACACAAGCGGTGGTCCCATCACATCAAGGGCAGTAATTCTACCACTAGACCTCCTGTGTAAATCTAAAATGGTGAACTGTAAAGGCTTTTAAACTGTTGACTATGGATATTAAAAATTTACTTAATTTGACTTTATTGCATGGGTGTGTGCAATTTTAAAGCATGTCATGTTTGGTATCCATTTACTCAGCGTAACATCTTTTATATTTTATCAAACAATTGGGCAATATATTGTGTTTTTGTGCATTCAGATTCTAAAAAGGAAATTTTTTGTCAGGTTTTTTTGGAAAAAATATAAACACCTGACGTTTTATTCTCTAGGACCTCTGCTTTAAAAAATATGTTTGGGGTTGAAAATAATTTTCAAGTAAATGAAGTGTCAGAAATGGCTTGGTCTCTGTCAGTACTGTACAAAATGTTGATCACACTGGGGGAGACTTTGTTCCCTTCCTACGTGCGAAATGGGAGCTGACCTGCAGATGTCCTTTTCAAAAGAAAAAGTGAACTGGATCATTCAATTAGCTCCAAAATCCTCAATAGCTAATCATTTCCAAGAGCAGGGATACAAACTTCTGTCCAGGTGGTATAGGGTCCCGGTACTATTGAACAAATTCTACCCTTCAGTCTTCAGTTTCTGTTGGTGGTGTCAGAGGGAGGAAGGTACTTTACTGCATATCTTCTGGCAATGTTCTCTGCTGACTCAGTTCTGAAGGGGAGTGAGGAACTTAGTCTTACAGCTGACCTCCGTTGATATGGAAACAGACCCATTGGCCTACCTCTTTCATCTCTACTCGGTACTGCTACGTCGCTATAGGCGCTCCTTGACAGTTCATCTTTTGAATGCGGCAAGGGGAAGCATTCCGGATTTGTGGAAGCAAACCTCTTCTCTGACCATGGGTCATTGGTTTGCGAAGTTGAATGAAATTAATTCAATGGAAAGCCTTACTGCCTCCCTTAATAATAAAGAAGATGTTTTCGGGACACGTGGCAGCCTTGGACAATGTATACTTGCTCGGTGCAATATCGGGATGAGGCGCCCACCTCCTTCGGGGGGGGTCGAGTCCTCCTCGAAGTCACATTTGGCAAATTAGTTGCCGAACCATTTGATTGGTATTTGGGGGGAGTAGAAGGAGCGGAGGGCCCTGTGCTACTCTGCCCCTCCACCCCCCAGTTCTGCCTCCGGTTCTCTCTGTGAGCCCCCACTCTGTCCTTTCTCTCTGGTCCCATATCCCCCCCCCCCCCCCCCCCCCCCCCCCCCGTGAGATAAGAAGATTAGTGGTGTTCCACGTTATTTTTCCTTTTTTTTTTCCCCCTTCCCTTGTGTTAGACTTTTCCTGTATTAGTGGCCTTACATTAGTTATGTAGCAGATGGGATGTATATGGCCTATTACTCCTGATCTTAGGATCTCTGTGAACTGTTGTGCCTTACGGCACATATAACGGTTTCCGAAATGTATGTGGATCTTCTTTGTTTATTGTGTGATGGTACTCCTTGTATGTGCACATTGTCTTCCTAAATAAAGAATAAAAAAAAAAAAAGAAGAAAAGGCTTGGTCTTCAAGTAGTTAGAAGAGTGGGTGATGTGTGACAGAAGCTTCTAATGTTGGCTTTGAAATGTCAGGATATTAGAAGCACCATCAGTATATGAGAAATATGCCCTTTGAAAGCCTATTTGTGTGGGGGAAAAAAAGGACATAAATTTCATTTGGGTACAGCATTGCATAACCGCGCAATTACCAGTTGAAATAACAGTATCGAATAGCTAAAAATGGCCCAGTCATTAAGGTGGGGGGGTTAAATCTTCCGGAGGGCAAATGGTTAATCATGCTGTAAAGAACACAGGCAATGCTATTCACACACCATAGATTATAGCTTTATACTTTCAGGTGATTGGACAGTGGCAAGCTTTTTAGGATACACCCTCCTACCCCCTGGTATGTGAGTCAAAAAGCTAGTGTCTGTAGGTGCTGGACCTCTTCTCCCTTCCTGAGAAACCGGCTTTACTACTGGAGCATTTTTTTTTTGTTTTTGTTTTTTTTTTTTTTTGCACACATTTAAAAAAAAAAAAAAAAAAAAACATTTTAGGCCAAAGATTACACAAAACCCCCAAACATATTTTCTGAAAACAATTTGTCACAGGTCTAAGAAACACAAAATGTCTGTAAAAAATACACTAAAGTGAATTTTAGGGCAAGCCAATGCATTAAATTAACAAAATTTTTGCTAAAATATAAAAGACGAGGTTGCACCAGATAAATGGATGCCCAACATGTCAAACCTTACATTTGTGTGCACCCGTGAAATGGCGACAAAAGTCAGTAAGTTATATTTTCTATAGGCAACGCTTCAAAAGCCCCTACATGTCATCAGTTTGGTTTTTATGGAGGAGTTCTTGTGCTAGAATTATTGCTCTGACTCCAGCGTGCATGGCAATATGTAACATGTATCACAATGTGTCTAAGTTCAGGTTATGTACTTGCATGTAACTTTTTTTTTTTTTTTTTTCATCACATAGGGGATAGAAAGTCCCCTATGTGATAATTGTTAGAGGACAGGCTCTCCTTCATGAGACATGCAGGGTCTAAAAGACCCTGCATGTCTCCTCTGGCTTCCACATTTCTCCCCAGCTATTCTAGCCAGGGAAAGTGACGGGTGTGGGAGCTGCTACCAGGGGTGTGTGGAAGCAATCTGCTTGTAATGTTTTATACACAGGCCTGGTGGCTGTGGCCACTGGATTGTCTGTAAGCCTCCCCACCCCCCACCTTATATGTTGTACATAGGACATTATCATGCAGTTCACACAAGTTTAAAATTACCATTTTCAAAATCACAATATGGGTTAGAAATGTTTTTTTTTGTAATGCTATTAAATATTAAAGTTCTAATACATGTGTTTTTGCATCACTTTCAGGGGCTTCATAAAGGTCAGAATTCACATTTGGCAGGTCCTAATGGTGAACGACCTATTTCTTCCACTGGGCCTTCCCAGCATCTCCAAGCAGCTGGCACTGGTATTCAAAATCAAAATCAGGTTGGACATCTTACCATGCCTAGCAATTCAGTAACACAGGGGGCTGCTCTCAATCACCTCTCCTCTCACACTGCTACCTCAGGTGGACAACAAGGCATTACTTTAACCAAAGAGAGCAAGCCTTCAGGAAATGGAACAGTGCCTGAAACAAGCAGGCTTTCTGAAGGGACACCTAACAGTACTGCCGGTGTAGAGGGACTTCCTAATCATGTCCATCAGGTGACGGCAGATACTGTTCCTAGCCCTAGCCATGGAGATTCTAAGTCACCAGGTTTACTTAGTTCAGACAATCCTCAGCTCTCTGCCTTGTTGATGGGAAAAGCCAATAACAATGTGGGTACTGGAACCTGTGACAAAGTCAACAACATTCATCCAGCTGTTCATACAAAAACTGAGAATTCTGTTGCCTCCTCCCCATCTTCAGCCATTTCCACAGCGACACCTTCTCCAAAATCTACTGAACAGACAATGACCAACAGTGTTATCAGCCTTAACAGCCCCCATAGTGGACTTGATACAGTCAATGGGGAGGGTATGGAAGACTCTCAAAGCCCTAAAAAGAAGGACCCAGCTATAATTAGCCACAAACAAAGCCCTCAGACTATACCATCCATGTCAGTTTCCATATACCCTAGCTCAACAGAAGTTTTGAAAGCATGCCGGTAAGTGTCCGTGTTTTCTCACTATAAAACATTAACTTTTGTCTCATCAAAACCCCTTGATGGACTTTGAGACTACATTGCAGTGTTTTAAAGTACACAAACGTGCATATTCAGTAAGTACATGTTTAAATTCTTTTAATATTTATGCACTGTCATTTTTAGCATAATTTTAACTTTCTGCTGGTTTTCCATATGATTTACTGCATTTCAAATGTCTGTTTGTAGCCTCCCCTTAGTAGTTATTTGGCATTTGTACAAGAATCCTGTCTTAATGACTGTTAAGATATGCTCATTTCATGTTAGAGCATTTGTTTTGTAGAGATCATACCAGACTCAGATTTCCATAGAGCAGAAATGTAGCTTAGTCATTGTGCAGTACTAAGCAGGAAGCAGTGTAATATGTAATGATCTCATATGGCATCTTGAATATACAGTAAGTCCCCTACATATGAATGAGTTCCATACCAAGAGCTCATTCGTAAGTCCAACAAAGTCAGCTCTTGCAACCAATGGCTGTGAGCATTGATCAGTGTGTTCTGGCAGCAGGAAGTTCCCCTGTCAGAATACAAAGGCACAGCGGGGGAGATCGCCACATCAACAATGCATGTGTTGATATGGCGATCTGTCATTTTTTTTTTTTTTTTTGTTTTTTGTTCAGCCCAGTGTGTTGAATGAAAAAAAAAAAAACTGAGTGTATGTACTCCACTTTATATGATTGGACATGTTCACATCTTGGAAAGTTTGCAATTTCAGCATTCATAGGGGACATACTGTATATATTTTTGCAAACGCTATTCTGAAACGGTTTTCATAATAACAGTGGTTGGTATGCAAGTCAAATATAGCATTTAATATTGGTGTTTTATAAAGTGTTGACAATTTACATAGCACTTTACATATATGTTGTACATTCACATCAGTCCGTGCCCTCAAGGAGCTTACATTCTTAAGGTTCTTAAATCACAATCATACATATACAGTGGGTAATGAAAGGAATCAGCCCCCTTTTTAAAATCACATTTTGTTGTTTTGAAGCCTGAAATGAAGACACATAGTTTTTGTTTTATCCATCTGTATTTACTCAGTGCAACTTATAGCATCCAAGTGAGATAGAACACCATGTCAGAAAAAAATGTAAATAATTCAAAACACAATCACTGAGTTGGAAAAAGGATCACCCCCTCCTAAAAATGACTTGTAAACTCAATCAGGTGTAGGTAATCACCTTCTCAATGGCACATAAAGCCATTTGACTTTCAACTGTGATCAGCTCTGGTCATTTTGATTAGCTCAGAATAAAAAGAGCTTTCCTGGAGCATTACTAGTGCAGCTGAAGCAAACCATAAACTATGGGTGGCGAAGGCACTGTGAAAAGTTTTCCGGGATAAAGTTGTGGACAGACACAAGTCAGGAGATGGATTAAAAAAACATGTCAAAAGCTTTATCAATGCCTAGAAGCGCAGTTAAGTCTATTATCAAGCAGTGGAAGTTATTTGGTACATTAGGAAACTGGTCAGAGAGGCTACCAAGAAGTCTACAGCAACCCAGAAGCAGTTGCTAGAATTGTGTGCATGTGTCTTGTATAGGATGGTTGCAAGAAAAAAGCAACTCCTCAAGAAAGGCTACATGCAATCACGACCGAGCTTTGCCAAAACACACATTGAGGATTCTGAGGGGACATGGAAAAAGGTGTTCTGGTCAGATGAATTGATTGAACTATTCAGCCTCAACACTGAAAGATATGTCTGGCAGAAATCCAGTACAGCTGCTCACCGTCCAAATAACACTATGCCTACAGTAAAGCATGAAGTTGTTTCTCTGTAGCAGGGACTGGAGCACTTGTCAGGATAGAAGGAAAAATGGATTGGGTAAAATACCGTCAAATCCTTGAGGAAAATCTGCTGCCCTCTGCCAGAAAGTGGTCAATGGGAAGGTGTTTATCTTCCAACATGACAGTGACCCAAAGCACACAGCAAAAATGATCACAGTGGTTGAAGGAGAAAAAAGTGAATGTCCTTGCATAGCCTAGGCAGAGCAGACTGCAGTCCACAAACTGTCACCATCAAATTTAACTGAACTTGAGCAGTTCTGCAAAGAAGAGTGGGCAAATATTGCAAAGTCTAGATGTGCAAAGTTAGTAGAGACATATCAAAACAGACTAAAGGCTGTAATTAAAGGAAAAAAAGTGATTCAACAAAAAATACTGACACAAGGGTTTGATCCTTTTTCCACCTGATTGTTTTTGAATTTTTGTTTTTCTTCTGACATGTTTGTGCTATATCTTTCACTTGGATGTTAAACGTTGCACTGAATAAATATAGATGGATAAAACAAACTGCGTCTGTCTTCATTTCAGGCTGCAAAGCAACAAAATGTGATTATTTTAAAGGGGGGCAATTCTTTCCTATACTCATTTTACCTACCCCTTGTCTATTAGCCTACCAGTGTGTCTTTGGTGTGTGGGAGGAAATCAGAGTACCCAGCGGAAACCCACACAAGCACAAGAAGAACATGCAAACTCCAGGTAGGTAGTGTCATGATTGGGGTTCGATCCAATGACCTCAGTGCTACCAGGCACAGGTGCAAACCACTTTTCCAATGTTGCCCACAGCATGCTTTAAAAAGAAACAAAAAAAACCCACTTTGCTTTATATGTGCTCTTGTTACATTTACATGGTCTTGTAAAAAGGTAAAAGCGGTTCAGATAGCAGGATAAAGCATGCTGCATTTGCCAAAAAAGTAATGCCAAACCTGGTATTTTGTAGCAATGCGCGCACTGCTCAATAAGATCTAGTTCAAAATGCAACCCCTGGCAAAAAGTATGGAATCACCACTCTTGGAAAATGTTCATTCAATTGTTTTAATTGTGTAGAAAAAAAAAAAAACAATCAGACATGTCTCAAAGCTATTTTCCTTCTGCCAACCTTCTGCTTTTAAGAAATACTTAAAAAAAAAAAAAAAAAAAACTAGTCAATTGCAAACTTTTTGCAGATCAAGGAGAGGTAAAAATATATGGAATTCCTAAATTCTGAGGAAAATATGGATTCACCATCTACTTTGCAGTTCTAAAACAAACATCTGCGTCAGATGAGATCTGCAGTTTGCAGTTAAAAAAAAAAAAAAGAGTGCTTGCACACCTTGGTGAGCTGTTGCACCAAGCTGATTGACATGAATCATGGCTCCAACATGGGTCTGATCGAACTGTAAGACATCGCCTAATGGAAATGGGATTTACATGCAGAAAAGCCAAACGAAAACAATCAACACCTAAACAGAATAAAACAAGGTTACAGTGGGCTAAAGAAAAGCAATCATGGACTGTGGATGACTGGATGAGAGTGATATTCAGTGATGAATCATGAATCTGCATTTGCCAGGGTGATGCTGGAAATTTTGTTTGGTGTCGTTCCAATGAAATGTATAAAGATGACTGCCTGAAGAAAACATGCAAATTTCCACAATCATTGATGATATGGGGTTACATGTCAGGTAAAGGTACGAGGGGAGATGACAGTCATTAAATCTTTATTAAATGCACAAGTTTATATTGAGATTTTGGACACTCCTTATTCCATCAATTGAAAGGATGTTTGGTGATGAATCTTGCCACAGGGCAAAAGCCGTGAAAACATTCCTTCAAGAAAGACATATAATGTCAATGGCATGGCCTGCAAACAGTCTGAACCACAATCCAATTGAAAATCTATGGTAGAAAATGATCCATGACAAGGCTCCAAACTGCAAAGTTGATCTGGCAACTGCAATAAGAGAAAAAATGGAGCCGGATTGATATGGTTTGTTGATGGTTAAATCCATGCCTCAAAGGATGCAAACTGTTATAAAAGCCAAAGATGGTGCAACAAAGTACTAATAGTGTAGTGGTGTTTTTTTTTATGATTCCGTAATATTTTCATAAGAATTGAGTGATTCCATATTTTTTTATTGGCCTTGTACATATGGTTGTCAATTTTGCTCCCTGCTACGCTAATATCACTGAGTTGTTGGGAAAAGGTGTTCATGTGAAACAATAACCCCTACACCAGACATATAATCTTCTACGGAAGATACTTTGACGTGCTTTTGCTCTAGGAGGGTACCAGGGAGGTGTTCATGGCATTTGTAACACATTGTAACAACAGCAATTTTGGGCCAGGTTTTACTCATGTCATGGACCCCATCCGTTTAGTTTATCTGGATCTAGAATTAACACGTGAGGATGGGGTTGTTATAACCAAGAATTATTCCAAGCCCATTGGTGGCAACTCGTACTTACATTGTAAAAGTTGCCTCCACCCTACTTGGAAGAACAATATGGACAGTTTCACAAGCTAAAGAGAAACTTCTCCAAAACTCAGAATTATATCAAACCAAGTAAGGTCCTGTTCAGTACGTTTAAGGAAAAGGGGTATCCTGAAGCCCTCCTATTAAACTCCTATAGGACCTTTTTAGATTATCCACCCACCACTAGTAACACCACAGTCCCTAGGTATAACAACATGAGATTTGTCACAGTGTTTAATGGCAATTATAAAGTCATATGTAATATCATGAAAAAAAATATTTTGTGTTATGATCTTACTTAGGTCCCCATCTTCCTTCAGCCCCAGAAATTGTTTTTAAGAGGTCCCATACACTCAAGAATTTGATTGCACCCAGTAAACAAAGGAATCCCCATAACAGCAGACAGATTGATATCCAATGCTATTTTGACAATAGGGTTGGCATATACCAATATGAGAGACATGGACGTCTCACATGCCAATTTATTCAGCATGGACAGTCTTCCTTCTCTGACAGACTGGGCAATAAGTTCACAATTAATCACGTGCTTTACCAAGGAAACTGTTCATGTTTTCTACGGTGTTCCTGCAACCTACTCTATGTCGGATGCACAAAGCGCACAAGGGTAGGGGAACACCGTAGACGTATAGAAGAGGGAAAAGACAAACTTGGTATTCCACCTCATTTTGAATCCCACAACGGGAAGGACACTGAGGGCC